ATAATGATCGAATGAAATAAAACCCGATTTTACTCACTTCTATCTTTGGCAGAAGTGAATAGTGAACATCGTTCTGAGTGAAAGTTAATGAAAAATCCAAGAGAACTGTTTGAAAATACGCAACTCTCTCTCTTGTTCCAAGTTGTTTCCGCTACTCTAGCAGGGCACATCATCGTTGGGGATTCTCCAACCGGGGGGGGGGCTCGGTCGCTCGGGGAGAGCGTTGTATTTATCCTCAGAACTTTTTGTTGATAGTTGGTTTTTCTTGCTTCATGGACGCTATCAAGGGATGGGGTCGTTTTGCCTTCTGAAAAAGGTTGTTCGACTTTTCGTGCTTTATCCTGTTTCTTATGTGCTTTCCCCCCTTCCCCCGCTCAACAGCGAAATTTTCGGGAGGAAAATCTAAGAAAGCGATGGGTAGGATGAGGGGGGGAAGGTCCTACGCACTCGACCAAAATCCACAACTAATGATTTGCCTTGTACTCTAGTCTTTCGTTCGATCAAATTTACGAGTCATTCATTATGTTCACGGCAGTTTAGCATACTGGACGCTATGGCTCACTTATTTTCTCACTCACATCAGTACTTTCGCTTTGGCTCTGAATCTTGCCCCTCTGTAGGTCATCAAAGTGTCAATTTTGTTTAGCTCTCTCACATATTTTTCACGCTGAGAACTTTCACAGCCAAAATCCCTGCAAACGGAAGGGCGTATGACGGGGGCGCGGCCTGTAGCGCAGCAGGCTAATTTCCGACCAATCAGAGCGGGCTCAGCGTGGTATAATTGGTTTGAAAAGGCCGCTGTGCTACGCTCTGATTCCGCATCACATGCCCTATCGTTTACAGGGATCAGACTGTATGAGATTAGTTCCATTCAAGGACAGCTCCCACACCAAGATTGTTAACGAATTTTGTTCGACTGACGTTTCGGCGTCGTCGCCTTCTTCAGAGCCTGGAAAGTCGAAGACATTCTCGAAACTACTCATCCACACACTATTTCAACCTACAGAGGAAGTTCAAAAGGGTTGTAAACTACTATAATGACGTCATGGAAACGATAAGAACCAACCTTTAGGGAAGTCGACCGATGAGGTCCACCTGTCACCCCGTTTTACTAGTAAAGTGGTTTGAAAAGGTAGACCTCCAGGCCACTTGCTTAAGGGACCTCTTGAGGGTTAATCATATCAAACTCCTCCAAAGGTCACTCCAGGCCACCCGCACTGCGCAACCCGTGTAGCCCCATACTATTGATTACTGTACAAACCCCCGGCCCCGCCGGAGTCCGGAGTGGAGTGACTTTTGGAGGAGTTTGATCTACATGATTAACCCTCAGGAGGTTCCTCAAGCAATTGACCTGGGTGCTGGATGGACTCATCTATCGGAAGGATCAATCCTCCTTCAAGGGCATTCAATGTCCACGCTGATGGTTTGAGCAGACCCAGGCCAAAATGCCTCATTTATAGTGCGACTTCCTTCGTAGACATCGTGAAAGAGAGTGTCCAAGTGCGACTCACTATGAATCTTGGCGTGCTGTTCAGTGCCTGTCAGCAAACTGATTTGGCTTACAAATCCAAGACTGTTTAAACAAGCTTCATTCGCTGACGTTCGGCGTCGGTCGCCTTCTTCAAAGCTAGAAAGTCCGAAAGACATTCATCGAAACTACTCGACTCATCCAACGCTATAAGGCCAGCGTTCACACTTCGAGACAGCGCCGGCAATCGCGCGGTCGCGGCGATCTCGCATGCGCCGCGATCGTCGGTACATGGCAGAGCGCGCCGCCAACGATATTACGTGCGCTCCGAAGGCTTTTGGGGGTAAGCGACTCAATTTCATGCTTTTTTTTTCCTTTAAATAAGTCCATAGGTAGGAGCTTGGTTTGACTCAACGGAAAGGTGACGCCCCAACTTTAACCCATTGCGTACCGCAGTGTATTTGCGCGACGCGATTTCTGGCGCGCTGAGTATAAAAACATAAGATTTTTATCTTATACATATAACAAAAATATTGCACACACATCGTATTATGCATCACTTTTATAAGTATACGTATGCTAAAGGGGATTCAATATTGTTACGTGATAAAAGTGTAAAGCCGAAAAATGCGAAACTAGCCAAAAAAGCTTGATAAAATTAAGAGGAGTTGAAAAAGTGACGCAGTGTGCTTAGAAGCTGTTCACTCACACCATTTTACAATTTTTCAGTCGTATACTAAGCAGGATTTCGGTTTTATTGGTAAAGGAGAGTTAATTAAAAAATGTAATAGTTGAGGTATTACTCGTTGAATACTAGCAACATAGCTAGTATTCAATCTCGCAATTTCCCCCACACATATTTTGTCCCTGACGACTTCAGGAATATACCTACTCTTTCCAGTCATCTAACAATGCTAAATGAGTTCACACTAACAAGGGAGGTCGTTCAGGGCGTGGTGAGCTTTCAAAATGGTCTTGTGCATATTGTAGGGGCACATACGAGGACCAGAAAACTGAGGTTCATTTTCGCTGCGCGCTTCTACGAATAAAAAAAAACGTAAAAAAAGGTCGATGGTTCGGATCCCACCGAGGACAAAATTTTGCTTTTCTACAATTTTTCATTTTTTGGA